AATAAAGCTTTATTTCAGACAGTATGTGAGCATAGAGTACACAAATTTTCAGCATATTTGGTTCGAAAATATTTCAAGGATTTATATGTAAAGCAATAATCTGAAGTATGTCGTGTGATGCAGTATTATTGCATGTGAAGTGAGAACTAATTCTGTCTTCTGTTTTTTCTCATTTCATTTCCTTCAAGAATTGCACAGTATGTTGTTGAAAGTTATTTAAATATGCGCACGTTTCTATTTGTGATTATTTGATATAATTGTATGATTAAAACAATAGGAATGAACTTGTTTATAAGGGTGAAATATTACAGCAATTGTCAACAGCAGATTGAGGAAGTCACTAGCCAGAGCCTATCCTGCAGCTATGTTGGTTCCCGTCTATTGAACAACTTGCTCTTTGGTGCAATCACAAATAGACTGATACCCTTCTCACGTTAACTCCAACTGTATACACAAATTTACATATATCTGAGGGAGCAGTTACATTGGAAGGACAGAAAGAAGGGCATATCTACGATTTTTGAAGATGTACCAAAAAGCTTATGTTTAAAGGGAACAAATGCTTTAAACCATGCTATCGCCAGACTTCTCCTTGACACGGGTCATGAGGTGGATGTCACAACATCGTTCAAAATTATCAGTAGGTAAAAGAGTTGAGTTCTCCTTAAGTTTGCTGAAACAGTCTTCATCAGGCGCCTGAAGCCCGATTTATGTGTTCAGAAAGAAGCAGTTATTAGTCTTTCTTTGCTCTTGTAAATGGATATTTTCGCCTCTCCTTCATCTGATTACGTAATATCGAAGGTTTCCATTGTATATGATCATCATTGTTCGGAATAGTGTTCAATATTATATATATATATAAATATATATATATATATATATATATATTACTGTATGCATATATTGATTGATTTTTGTTTAAAAATGAACTCTGTGCAAGTATGTAAAAATTGTTTCTGTAGATATACTTAATGATGTCTTTGGGCTGTGAGCAAGCAGCTGACGAGAAGCCAACGAAATAAACAATGATGGTACCATTTTATTCTGCATAAAGTGTTTTTTTTTTTTTAAATTCAGTAAGAGGAATAAATGTATGGAATAGTGAAAAGTTTAAGCAGCATTTTGATGGATGCAAGTTCTGGTCGCCCAGGGATGATTTAAGCAGACCACCATAGACAGTCTGCCCCAACTTGAAGTAAGAAGATGGGTTGTACAAAAGTTAATAGTGTCTGATTCCTAATAAAAAGCAGATTATAAAAATCTCCATGATATAATTATGAGCAATAAAGTGCTCTCGAAATTTCACTGGTTATTAATACTGGAACACTGCCTGCATAAGTGTTGTTATTAAATATAATTATTATTATTATTCTATGATGTAGGTGTACTCTACCAGAATGCTCAAATTGTGTTCTTGTAAAAGTAGAATTTTGTACTCAATTCTAATCCTTCTTATTGGGATTAACTAATACTTATTGCTGTTTAAGTATTCGAACAAGACATATCAGAGAATTAGATCTTCTTCAGGCTTTACTCTAATTTACATAGATTTATATATAACGCTGATTTTGTGGACCAAATAATAATAATAATAATAATAATAATGTGGTAAATGTTTTGAACGTTATTAATAACGATAATTATAATGATAACCAAATATTGATAATAAGGTTTATGCAGATGGCGATAAGAAGATGAAGTGGACAGATAATCAGAGTTTAAATAAAAAATATCATAAAAGTACGAAGGGGATGGAAAATAAGAAAGTGTGGGAGGGTTTTGATTAGAATTCACAAGAGTAAGACATTAATTGCTTAACATAACAATTATTATTATTGTTTCCTTCAGTTCCTAGAGGAACATAGACATTCAGCCACACATCTTCATTGCCTCCGGTTCTCTGCCAGCGTTTTCACGTTGAATCCACGTCTGCTCACATGCTTTCATCTCTTCTTCACATAACTACCCCATGTCACCCTCGTACTGACGATAAACTCGCCTCTTCCCGTTCGGGTTCCACTCGAGCGATAACATGACATGTGATGCCACTTGAAGATGGTTCGTTGTCTTAGAGTATGGCCAATCATACCAAGTTACCACTCTTTTTACTTCGAGTTCCTTAATCAGTACTTTCAGGTTAGGCAGAGTACTGATCAGGGTTAACTGAGGAAAGCAAGTTTATTAGGTTCTGACGTTAAGGACTGTCTAGAGGTTGACCGCGGCACTTAAAAGTCTACAGAATGGCAACAAATAACTTACACCCACCGAGGTGTGAGCCCGGAACCTTCTGGTTTTTAAGGCAAGCCTGCAGAACATTCTGCCACTGGGATTCTATCAATATCCCGCGACTTCCAACCTCTACCAACTCGTGAATTTAGCGCAGTCACCAGCCACTATCATCAGTGGATATGAGGGACCTTACTGGTCACGACTTTTTACTTAAACTACAGGCGTTTTCGCCCTGTAATCAAGTATGTCTTAACCTGAAGGACCTTGGTTAGATCTCTAATGAAGTCGTTAGTGTGCTGTTTTGGAGTGTCCCAAATTAGAATGAAACAACTGTTCGGTACTACTTGGTGGTTTTTCAATGGTTCTCTAATTGAGATGTCGGCTCGCAATTAAATTTCAATGATTTCCTTTATTTAAAGTATCTAATCTATTTTAAGACAAGCTTTATAATAAAAATGTACCAACCATGAGGACAGCTGTCAGTACCAGCTGTGATATCTACAATACAGTATAGAAAAAACTGATATAAATCTTGCTTTTGCTTATTGTATCAGAGGTACAAGATATGTATATATCTTTATTTATTAGAAGATTACATCTTTCTGTCGGACGGACCACCTGTCGTTTATACAGAAATGAATAATTAAGGCTTCATTTCATTGATGTCATTAAAATCTAAATAAATAAATAAATAGATTTCACTCACCAAGCAATGGAAAATTGCTAGCAGCTGCTGGCGTTGTATCCTCTAATAGAAGATGAAGTAGCAGGAATGCACGAATACATTCATGGCTAAAAATGTACAAAAATAAAATAATGAAAAGAATATTTGTATTAGAGAATGCATTAAAAAAAAAGATATTAATTGTCTGTGTTAATTATGTGCTTGTAAGAAGAGATAAAAAATTAGGTGAAAATAATTCAATTAGAATGGAGTCGTATTTTTGTTGTTTAAAACCACCACTAAGAAATATTTTTTATTTCCTCCTGGGTTTGGGATAATTCACAGCAGTACACACCCAACTGATGACCCGAGTGGTGAAGAGTCCCAGCCTAGGACTGTCTAGTATTCCTGATTTTAATGGTTCTTTAAATCGACGGAAAACTCCGAGAAGAAGAAGTCTTTGAAGTAAAGACAGGAGTTAGACAACTCTGTCACCTATCATCACTGATAATATTCTTAATTATGGTGGGGTGGGTTATGCGGCACACCATGCGTGGGGAGGGGAGCGAGATGGCAGGAATACTTTGGGCCGATAAGAAGACTTTAGTATATCTGGACTACGCGGACGATTTACGTCTAATGTCATATATATCAATAATAAAATAATAAAAATAATAATTTTTTGCTTTATTCCAAAAACAGTACTAATGATACAGCAAGGAATATTTAGCATTCAGTACAATATTGCATCTAATTTACTCAAAACGACAACAAATAAATATTACATAATAATAATAATAAGGGCAAAACGTTGTTATAGCAGCTATGTAGCAATTACAGTTTGCGATAAGGAGAGAAATATGCACAAAGTATGAAATTGTAGCAATAATAGTAATAACAACTAAAATAAAATAGCAAAAATATTAAATGATAGAAAGGGTGACACCATAAAATTACAGAAAGATCAACAATGAAGAGGTCGATTCACTTTGTTAATTACATAGTAACTGATAGGTTTCACGCGTCTACCAGTGTCTCCATCACATAAAATACGGGCTAAATACTGTATTGTAGAATTTTGTGTTCTTAGTGGTTCGAGCATATAACTTCTTATATTGACTTCTCGTCCCACCTGATGAGATGCAAGACGATAGTTGTGAATAAAGGGGGTGCAGGCAGGCTGACAGTACGGCCTTTGCCCATTTTTTACAGGATTTTATATGTCTCTCGACTATAATATTGGCGAGTTCATGCAGTGGCATACTACAAGCTACAGTTGGAAGAGGTAGGCAGCGATGACATGACCCCATGCGGACAAAAAAGAATCGATGGATGTGATGGAGAAGACCAAATAACAACCACAAGCACTGATCACTGTCAACGGAGTAAATTTAGAAGAGGTCATTATCTAGTTAGCATTATTTCAATTGAAAGTGGAGGCACTGATAGGATCTTCAGCACCAATGTTAACTCAGTCATTTCTACTATGTGGTCCAGAGATTTGACGCGCGCAACCCCAAAAGCATTTCCAATAGGCTGCAGAATTTTATCAACAGCCGACTTCTGTTACTCGACAGTGAATATCAAATTACTAGAAAGGAGAAACACGAAGAAAAACTGACATCGAACCAAATAAGAACTTATCGCAAAACAAATATTCAGAAGGAAATGGAGATGGTTACAGGATTTCATCATAAGCTGACATTGGTTAGAGAATCATTGGAAAACCAACAAGGAGTACTGGACAGCTGTCTCCTCTATCCTAGTTTGGGACTCCTCATCAGTACACACACACCGGGAATCGAACTCAGGACCTTCTGGTTGCAAGGCGAGCTCGTAGGCCATTAAGTCACTGAGCCCCCCCCGATCCAATGAACATCCCATGAATTCTAACTTCTGCCAATTCACGACATAGCGCGACCACTAGCCAATATCTTCGATGAGTATTTGTCCTCACACCCGACCTGCTGCACCCAACTGGTCATGACTTCTCACTAGAACCCCAAGTAACTACCTACCTGAATAGGGCAAGTCGCTAGTGAGCATCTCATTGATATCTAAGTGTTGGTTTGTAGGGATTTGATTGGTTACAGGATTTCATCATGAGCTGGTTAGAGATGGAGATGGATCTGACACAGGCTAAGGAGGCCGTTGGGCGACAAATCGAGGAAGAGCCTCGAGATCAGCCCGAATAAGAAATGACAAGTTGGGCTTAGTTCTGAGGTGATATAGAGAAGATCAAGTGGGTAGGAAATTAAAACCTATGGATAATCAGGAAGTCAGCTAAAGGATACTGTAGAAAACAGAGTGAAACGAGATGTGCTTTTGAAGTCCCTTGTCTCACTCGGAACTCAAGGAATAATATAATGCTAATTAGTGGCATAGGATCACCATAGAGAATCCAAATATTCTCATTTCATATCGAAAGTACATTAGGTAAGCTAAGTGTACTGGTGGAGGATTGGTTGTGTAGTTTCTACCAGAAAAAAGAGTCTTTTTGTAATTCTATAAACTGATTTGATTTCCTATAGTTGGTTTGTAAGGATTAGTTTTGTTTTTACGAGTTGATCACGCAGTGAAATCAGTTAGAGAAGCATTGAAAATCGGAGGATCCTGGGTTCGAACCCCAGTGGGTGCGTACTGCTGATGGTTCCCAAACAAGGATGAAACAGCAGCTGTCCAGTACTCCCTGTTGGCTTTCAGTGGTTCACTAACTGATTTGATCACAGCATTCAGTGATAATTGTGAAAATGTCACGAATTGTTCCATTACTGGCTCATGGAATCAGAAGAGTTGGTGGTGGTTTAACTATAGTTTGATTAAAGTTAGCGCTGAAGAGAGAGAGTCTAGAAAGATATTCAAAAATTTCAGCTCAGAGAACAGAAAACCATTAAATAAATTCATCTGAGGTTTTAATCTGTCTTCGATAATTTCAAAATTTGGAAGTTTGACTCGTACTCCTTTAGCAAGATTTATGTGTATTCTGTAGATGACTGGATAGTTCCTTTGAAAGTTCTCTTGATGTTAGGAGTCGAACAGGTGTTCCGGAATAGTGCTGTAGGGGTAATCTTATTTCGCCTTTGTAAAACCATGTAGGTAAATTTCCGGTGATAGCGAACACCGAGGACGATTGACATATATATATATATATATATTTCAGTTACTGGTTTTATGGAGACGGTAAGTCAAAGTTCAGCTGTGAAGAAGGTTTCCTTCAGTGAATGGAACAGTCGGTGTGTCAATATTTTTGCTGATAACTCTCCATTTATTCGTAGATTCACATACAGAAATCTCTTGTGGTTATAGGGATGTAGACTTCATGTTTTATGATAAAACGTTCGGGATAGCTATTTTCAATGAGAATCCATTTTTTAGAAGTTTCATTGTCTCTTTCAGGATGTCAGGATTGCAGATTTTTGTGGTTCAGTTAACGGATTAGGCTTTTGTTTTGTATATAAAAGTAGCTACCTCTATGGGAGATTGTGAGTTATCCTTTTATGTTTCTAAATAACTCACCCCTTCATATTTACATGTTTCAGTATATCACGAGCATAAGGCCACAAAGTGAATGAGGATGAACTCAGTTGGCATAACTTAAAGAAAACATCATTTTCAGCACACAAAAAAAATACACTGATAATGAATGACATTCTATGTATGAAAGAAGAAATGAACAGAAAGGTTAAACAGTTGAACAGTTGTTTAAAAAAAATAAATGGTTTGTACTTCCCTCTTATAAATTAGCTAAAAGACAGAAAGACTAATTTGAAGAAATAACAAAATATAAAGAGAAATCAGAAGAAACAAAGCAGAAATACAAAGTAGATAATTTATCTTTAAATAAAACAAAATTGTTTATAAAACGATAAGAGAATTCATTTGATGACTTTAGCGGTCATTCAAGGTCATGAATGCTTATCACATTCGTCTGTGATGTATAAGTGAAGAGAAATCAAGATTACAAATTACATAGGAAAGGCAAACAAGTGTTACAAAGATAAAACAGAAAAGAGGAAGATAAGATTGAAAATAATTTTTTCCTCATGAAAAGAAGTCAACAAACACCAAAAAACAAAAACAAACAAACAATGAGGCTATTAGACAAAATATCTCACGCGGTTAAACAACTTATGTTCAATGTTTTCAATATGCTTCATTGTCGTTTTCTCATTGTTTCATTGTAATCTGCTTGTTCTGTTATTGGTAAATTTTATTTTTAAACTAAGCAGGCAGATATAGTTTTAATTAACAACCATTTTGTTTTAATTCGTTGAACCAAATACAATAAGATCTACCTTTTCTCGATAATTTTTGTTTTACTAAAGTGAAGCCGCCAAATTTGAATTCGAATCGTAGGTAATCATTACACACGTAAAAGCAATGAAAGTGTGGGATGACTCTTTGTGTTGGGAGGAAAAAGATTTGACAAACAAAATGAAAAAAGAGAATGTTTTGAGGAGAAGATTGCAGAAGTCAGGTAAACAAGTAAACAAGATGGGACTAAATTTTTTTTTTTATTTCTTATCCAAAACTAAAGGATAATCAAAATGAATAAATTAATAAACACAAAATCAATTGGTAATTTCATTTCCTATTGAAGTAAATAATAATTAATTCAATTATTATGTATAATAAAACTTTTTCTTGTGAGCAATCTTTAGAATTACTTATTTTTAATTAATTTGTTTACATATATATATATATATATATATATAAATGTGGCCCTCGTACACGACCTTTTATGACCGAAAGTGGGTATACTTCCCTCTTCCTTTCGAAATTCCCTCATTTGGTGAGGAGCTTATAGTCAACCTCTGCCACACAAAGCCTGCTCACTGCATTCAAGCAGCAGGGTTGTTCCTCACAAAAGTGAAAGGGTGAATCCAAAAGCCTAATACTTACAGTCGGACTGGTGAATATACCAGTCTACCTAGGTAAGGAGGTTGTAAAACCCTGATTCTAAGCCTGTGGTGTACACTGGTTGCAGAATCCGAAAGGATAGAATGGTGTATGACCCATTTTAGTTGCTGGGACCTGTGGGTACGTAGCTGTTCTCTATTGTAGACCATACTTCAGGTTAAAGGGTCCTAGAGTGTGCCGTTGAAGAAACCACTTTCTTCGGTCTGGG